AAAAAAAAAAAAAAAAAAAAAAAAAAAAAAAAAAAAAAAAAATACAAACTATCCAGGAATTGTGGGACACTTTCAAAAAGCATAATATATATGTAATTTGAATACCAAAAGGATAAGACAGAATGAAGCAAAATAAATATCTGAAGTAATAATGGCCAAGAATTTTCCAAAATTAATGACAGGCACCAAAACACAGACCTAGGAATCTCCAATGAACACGAATCAGGGTAAGTACCAAAAAATCTACATCTGGCCATGTTATATTCAGACTACAGAAACCAAACACAAAGAGAAAAGTCTTAAAAGAGGAAAATATATACCTAACCAAGAGGGAAAAGGATTAGAACTATGCTGGACTTCTCACAGAAACCATGAAAGCGAGGAAGGAGTATATAGGAACCCTATACTATCTTTGTATTTTTTCTGTTAATCTAAAATTGTCCTAAAACAAAGTTGTTGTTTTTTTAATGTAAAGAACTAGGCTTCTGACACTGACTTTGCTCAGAGGATATTTCCCTCTTCTCAGGATGGGTTTGATAATCCTCAGGGTGGTCAAACATTTTGGTGTTCTTTGTAATCAGGGAAGGACAATGAAAGTACTGAAAAATCCTAACTACGCTCCATCCACTGAAAGGAGCTACTTTGCATATCTATTCCCACACTATTTCAAGAGGCGATATGACATAGAGGTTAAAAATATGGAAACTGGAATCAGATTGTCAGGCTTCAAATACTAGCTCCACCACTTTCCAGCCATGTCAACTTGCCCAAGTTATTTAACTTCTCTGTGCCCCAGGTTCCTCATCTGTAAAAGGGGGATAATTGTAGTAACTACCTTATAGAGCTATGATGAGGATAAAATGTTTATATACATAAAATGCAGAGAATGGTACTCAATCAATGCTTTATTTATTTAAATTGAGGATTGAAGGCTTTATTTCTTTAACATTCCTAGTCTAATATATTGGATGTATTAAGTGTATACAGGCATATATAGTTTTACTTCACTATGCCTTATTGTGCTTCACAGCTACTGCATTTATTACAAATTGAAGTTTTGTGACAACCCTGCATTGAGCAAGTCTATAGGCACCATTTTTCCAACAGCATTTGCTCACTCCCTGTCTCTGTCACATTTTGGTAATTCTCACAGTATTTCAAACTTTTCCATTATTATTATATTTGTTATGGTGTGATCATTGATGTTAATATTATAATTGTGTTGGGGTGCTATGAGTCACTCCCACATAAGAAGGTGAACTTAATAAATGTTCTGTGTGTTCTGACTGCTCCACCAACCAGCCATTACCTGTCTCTCTCCCTCCCCTCAGGCCTCCCTATTCTCTGAGACACAACATTATTAAAATAAGGCCAATTACTAACCCACAACGGCCTCTAAATGTTCAACTGAAAGAAAGATTTGCACATCTCTCACTTTAAATCAAGAGTTAAAAATGATTAAGCTTAGTGAGGAAGGCATGTCAAAAGCTGAGGTAGTACGAAAGCCAGCCCTCTTGCACCAAACAGTAAGCCAAGTTGTGAATGCAAAGGAAGAGTTCTTGAAGGAAATTGAAAGGGCTACTCCAGAGAATATACACATGATAAGAAACTGAAACAGCCTTATTGCTGACATAGAAATAGTTTTAGTGGTCTGCGTAGGAGAATAAATCAACATGCCCTTAAGCCAAAGCCCAATCCAGAGCAAGGCTCTAACTTTCTTCAATTCTATGAAGGCTAAGAGAGGTGAGAAAGCTGCAGAAGAAAGGTTTGAAGCTAGGAGAGGTTGGTTCATGAGGTGAAGGAAAGAAGTCATCTCCATAACATAGAAGTGTAAGATGAAGCAGCAAGTGTTAATGTAGAAGTTGCAGCAAGTTATCCAGAAGATCTAGCTAAAAAGCATTAAACTACAGATTTTCAGTGTAGACAAAACAGCCTTCTATTGGAAGAAGATGCCATCTAGGACTTTCATAGCTAGAGAAGAGAAGTCAATGCCTGGCTTCAAAACTTCAAAGGACAGGCTGACTCTCATTAGGGGTTAATGCAACTGATGACTTCAAATTGAAGCCAGTGCCCATTTACCATTCCAAAAGCACTAGGACCCTTTAGAATTATGCAACATCTACCCTGCCTATGCTCTATAAATGGAGAAACAGAGCCTGAATGACAGCACATCTGTTGAGAACATGGTTCACTGAGTATTTTAAGACTACCATAGAGACCTACTCCTCAGAAAAAAGATTTCTTTCAAAATATTACTGCTCACTGAGAATGCACCTGGTTACCCAAGAGCTCTGAAGGAGCTATACAGCAAGATTAATGTTGTTTACAGGTCTGCTAACACATTTATTCTGTAGCCCTTGGCTTAAGGAGTAATTTCAAATTTTAAGTCTTATTATTTAATAAATACATTTAATAAGGCTATTAACTGCCATAGAGAGTGATTCCTCTGATAGAGCTGAGCAAAGTGAATTGAAAACCTTCTAGAAAGGATTCACCATTCTAGATGCCATTAAGAATATTCATGATTCATGGGAAGACATCAAAATATCAAAATTATCAGGAATTTGGAAGCACCCTCACGGATGACTTTGAGGGGTTCAAGACTTTAGTGGAGGAAATTATTACAGATGTGACAGAAATAGCAAGAGAATTAGAATTAGAAGTGGAGTCTAAAGATGTGACTGAACTGCAGCAACCTCATGATCAAACTAACAGATGAGAAGTTGCTTCTATGGATAAACAAAGAGTGATTTCTTGAGATGCAATCTACTCTTGTGAAAATGTTGTGAAGGTTGCTGAAATGACAAAAAGGACTTAGAATATTACATAAACTTAGTTGATAAAGCAGCGTCATGATTTGAGAGGGTTGATTCCAAATTTGAAAGAAGTTCTACTGTGGGTAAAATGCTACCAAATAGCACTGCATTCTACAGAGAAATCTTTTGTGAAAGGAAAAGTCAATTGATGTGGCAAACTTCACTGTTGTCTTATTTTAAGAAACTGCCACAGCCACACATGAAAAGATGCTCAACATCATTAATTATCAGTGAAATGCAAATCAAAACTACACTGAGGTATCACCTCATACAGGTCAGAATGGCCATCATTAAAAAATCTACAAACAATAAGTGCTGGAGAGGGTGTGGAGAAAAGGGAACTCTCCTGCACTGTTGGTGGGAATGTAAATTAATACGGCCAGTATGGAGAACAGTATAGAGGTTCCTTAAAAAACTAAAAATAGAATTACCATACGACCCAGCAATCCCACTCCTGGGCATATATCTGCAGAAAACCATAGTTTGAAAAGATACATGCACCCCAATGTTCATTACATCATTATTTACAACACCCAGGACGTGGAAGCAACCTAAATGTCCACTAACGAAGGAATGGATAAAGAAGATGTACATATATACAATGGAATATTACTCAGCCATAAAAAAGGAACGAAATAATGCCATTTGCAGTAACATGGATGGACCTAGAGATTGTCATACCGTGTGAAGTAAGTCAGACAGAGAAAGACAAATATCATACGATATCACTTATATGTGGAATCTAAAAAAATGGTACAAATGAGCCTATTTACAAAACAGAAATAGAGTTACAGATGTAGAAAACAAACTTACAGTTATCAAAGGGAGAAGGGGGAGAGGGATAAATTAGGAGATTGGGATTGACATACACACACTACTATACATAAAATAGATAACTAATAAGAACCTATTGTATAGCACAGGGAAATCTACTCAGTACTCTGTAATGACCTATATGGGAATAGAAGTTAAAAAAGAGTGGATATATGTATATGCATAACTGATTCACTTTGCTATACAGCAGAAACTAACACAACATTGTAAATTAACTATACTCCAATAAAAATTAATTTAAAAAAACCCCACAGAGCTAGCTCAGCAAGACAGGTTAACAGGCTTACTTAAGCCTAATGACTGCCATGTCACACCTTTTAGTCTAAATCAGTGGTTCTAAAGCCTGGCTGCACATTAGAGTCACTGCACAAGTGAAAGTAAAACAGAACTACATGTGCCTAGCCCCTCCTCCAGAAATTTGGATTAATTCCTCTGGAGTGGGGCTCAGAGCATGGTATCTGCTAACAAGTTCCCTTGATGATGCTAATGTCCGCCAAAGTTGAGAACCTCTAGTCTAAGTATATAGATTTCAGATCTAATAAACAGATTTTATTATTAAAAAAAAAAATGGCCACAGCCACCCCAACCTTCAGCAACCATCACCCTGATCAGTCAGCAGCCATCAACACTGAGGCAAGACCCTCCACCAGCAAAAAGATTACCACTTGCTGAAGGCTCAGATGATGGTTACCATTTTTTAGCAATAAAGTATTTCTAATTAAGGTATATACATTGCTTTTTTAGACATAATACTATTGAACACTTAATAGACTACAGTATAGCGTAAACATAACTTTCATATGCATTGAGAAACCAAAAAATTTGTGTGACTCGCTATATTGTGATATTCACTTTATTGCTGTGGTCTGAAGCCAAACCCTTAATATCTCTGAGGTATGCCTGTATACTTTGGAAAAAGTATCATATCAAATCTAGCTCATTACTCTGAATAATTCCACATTTTACATTAAAGCTTCAGTATATTTGCATTTAAAAATGGCACTGGACATAAGTTCAGCAAGGTTGCAGGATACAAGATCAATATACAAAGTCAATTGTACAATAGTAATGAACAATTTAAAATGGAGAAAATAATTCCATTTATGATAGCATAAAAAGAGCAAGATACTTAAGAATAAATTTAATCAAAGAAGTGCTAGGCTTGTACACTGAAAACTACAAAACATTGTTCAAAGAAATGAAAGGTCTAATTAAATGGAAAAACATCATGTGTTCATAGATTGGAAGATTTAATATTATCAAATACTTGGGGCAATACTACCCAAATTGATCTACAGGTTCAACAAAAACCCTATCAAGGGCTTCCCTGGTGGCGCAGTGGTTGAGAGTCTGCCTGCCGATGCAGGGTACGTGGGTTCGTGCCCCGGTCCGGGAAGATCCCACATGCCGCAGAGCGGCTGGGCCCGTGAGACATGGCTGCTGAGCCTGTGCGTCCGGAGCCTGTGCTCTGCAATGGGAGAGGCCACAACAGTGATAGGCCCGTGTACTCCCCCCTCCAAAAAATAATAATAAAAAGAAAAACCCTATCAAAATACCAACAACATTTTTACAGAAATAGACAAGCTGACCCTAAAATTCATATAGAACTGCAAGGACCCCAAGTAACTCAAACAATTAAAAAGAAGTTGGAGGAGTCATAGTTTTTTATTTCAAAACCTATCATAAAGCTACAGAAATCATGCCAATGTGGTATTCATATAAGGATAGACATATGGATCAATAGAATAGAATTGAGAGTCCAAAAATAAACCCATACATCTATGGTCATTTGATTTTTCGCAAAGGTTGCAAAACCATTCAATGGAGAAACAATAGTCTTTTCAAAAAGTCCTGTTGGGACATTTGGATATTTACATGCAAAATAATGAATTCTCGCCATTACTTCACAACACATACAAAAATTAACTCAAAATGAATCAAAGATCTAAATGTAAGAGCTAAAACAATAAAACTCTTAGAAGAAAATCTAGCTGTTAGTCTTCATGACCTTACATTAGGCAATAATTTCTTAAATATGACACCAAAGGAAAAAATAGGTAAATGAGACTTCATCAAAATGAAAATTTTAGTGTGTCTAAGGACACTACCAAGGAATTAAAAAACCCACAGAATGGGATAAAATATTTGCAATCAATAATAAGAAGACAATTCTTACAGTTAAATAATAACAAGACAAATAACTAAAGAATAGTCAAAGAATTTGAACAGACATTTCTCCCAAGAAGTTATACAAATGGCTAAGTACATGAAAAGATGATATTAGTTACTAGGCAAACACAAATCAAAACCACACGGAGATACCACTTCACACTCACTAAGATGGCTATAATTAAAAAACTGAAAAATAACAAATGGTGGCAAGGATGTGGAGAAACTGTAATCCTCCTGCATTGCTAGTGGAATGTTAAATGGTTCAGCCACTATAGAAAATAGTTTGCAATTTCTCAGAAAGTTAAGTATAGAGCTATTGTATGATCTAGCAATTCCACTCCTAGGTATATACCAAAGAGAATTAAAAACATATGTTCATACAAAAACTTATACATGAATGTTTACAGCAACATTATTCATAATAGCCCAAAGTGGAAACAACCTAAATACCCATCAGCCAACAAACAGATAAACAAAATGTGATCTATCCATTCAATTGAATATCATTAGGCCACAAAAAGGAAGGAAGTACTGATACATGCTACAATATGGATGAAACTTGAAACACTGTGCATAATGGAAAAAAAAATCAGACAAAAAAGTCATATATCATATGATTCCATTTATATCCAGAATTGAGATAGAAAGTAGCTGAGTGGTTGCCAGGAATGGGGGTAGGGAGAGACGAAGAGATACAAGATTTTTTTTTAAGGTGATGAGAATATTCTGAAATTAGATGATGACAGTTGCACAACCCTGTGAATATCCTAAAAATCACTAATTTGTGCACTTTAAAATGGTAAATTTTATGGTTGTGTGAATTCTCTCTCTCTCTCCTGTACCAGTCAAGGACATGGAAGAAAGTAGGTGACATATTCAGATGGTTTAATGAAAGAGGATTTCATAAAAGGACTATTTATAAATACAGCAATAGGGTTAAGGGGGAAAAGTAAAGGAGTCTGAAGG